GTGCGTTAAGCGCCAGCTTGGGGCTGGAGCCTCTTTCAAGCCAGCGAGAAAATCATAAAAACGCATCTTGTTCACTAACACAAAGTATACAAACAAATATTGAAGTAAACAAAATCAAAACAGTGCAGCTTAACCTAAGAGTTAGTAACCATGCCAGTCCAATAGATTATTATCCCTACAGCAAAAACCCACGTTCCAATGTGTTAGTGTGAGAGAAGGTGCAAATATCGATCAGTGCTCATTCCGGAAAATCCGATCTACGAATCTACTACGCATGTGCCAATTATTGCTCGGTGAGGCTGTGCAGGATCAACGTGCATCTTACGGACTATAGGTAACAAGTCACCAGGAATGATTTGATTTCAGTGTTTATGCAATTGAGATGGATATTTTTTTTTCTCTTGATTCCATTCGCATTCGGCATCCGGTGAAACCGACCTGAATTTGCTGACATCTCGCGTTCCACTGGGTCTGTATAGTCGTTAAGAAGTTTTAACTTGTATTAAGCGGGGTTTTTAGTCTCTTAGGCGGTAACTCTTTGAATGAAACTTTACTTTTCTTTCGGTGAAACATCAAAACATTAGAACATTGTGTTAGATGAGTTAATTGACTTCCTTCCCCCAGGTTTGAGCTCCCGAAAGGGGAGGCGGAAGATAATGGGGACAGCGTTAGCACTTGTTAGATCATCTGGCTAGTCACGTTTCAAAAAGGTTACACGGTACGTGAGCGAGGGTAGTAAAATCGAGAGTTAGATAGATGACTTAGCAAATCGGTATTAGCAACTGGCAGCGGGTTAGTCATGCACACAGTCGGGGACTGTCGTCGTGTCGGGGATGAAGATTGCGACGGATGATCTGGGTTGGGGTATGTGATGTTTTACTCTCTCTCTCTCCCCGTGTCTGCTGTTACGGTGTTATTTCAACGAAATCTGTAAGCGATTATGCAACATCGATGGCAGTGATTCAGAACTTTGCGCTCGGAGGGCTAATGGGAAATGGTAAACAAACGGACCAGTTGTTCTCAAATGAAAGTCGTTTGCAGTAGGAGATGGTCTATCCGGTGTGCCAATATCGCTGAATATCATTCGGAATAGATGGATGTTTTGAATGCATTTGAATGTTTATCGGTAATGACCATGCATGTACACATGTACATCAATTAGATTAGATGAGGACAGGGTGGGGAAACGACAGAATACTAGGTAACCGCTAAGTATCATCACACAAACACTAACAGAAGTACAGAAGATGGAAGGAATTTACAAAGTGATGCAAACCGTAACTGCTACATTATTGCTTACGGGATCGTTGCTCGAACTGGGCGGGTTGTAATTTATTGTAAGGTGTGGAGCTGTGGGGTTCGTGGGTGGGAAGGGTGTTAGGGCATCCACTAGCTAGGTATCGCAGCCAACTTTATTACTTCTGAGCGCAGGATGCAACTGTTCTGCTGAAAGATGCACAAAGTGACATACATCAATAGTTTGCAGCGTAGACCGTGGAAATCACTGATGATTATATATTGATTACGTTTATCTGATTGCAATTAGTCATCCCTAAATGGTACGCTACGTACGAGTTTTAACAGAAAAATGCGATGATCGGAGTTAGAAATGAAGCCGTTAATTTTCACAAAAACTCTGCGAGGAATTGAGTGTTAAGGGAGGTACATAGGATTAATTTCAACTGATTGAATTACTGGAGCTCAAAAGTTAAAACTGGATGGCATTCTTTTGGATGGTTAAGTTCCTGAGGGTATTGTTAGATAGAGGGCTTAAATCATCCAAATTTAGAAGCATTATGGATTGTGTCCACAAAACATCCCTAGCAGCACACTTGTCACTGAACAATTGTGATTACTTCCCGAGTAACGAACAAACCCGCTAATGAGCCTTTTTGCAATATAAGACTAATATGCGACTAATATAAAGCTTAGAATGCCCTATGTTAGCTTTATATTGCAAAAAGGCGAATTAGCGGGCTTGTTTGTTACTTGGATTGTTTGCAACTCATTCCAGTCACAATCAAGTTACATATTGTGATGGTGGAAGTGTGCTGCTTGTTTGCATGTTATGCAGTTGTCTAAAAGATTGCTTGCAAGCCATATAAAAGTCATTGTTTTCTGGATAAATGGCACACTATTTTGCCAAATAAAGCACTAGCTGCAGAGGCCCTGAAAATTGCCAAAATTTACATGAATTTTCAATGATTACACTAGTTAACAAAAAAAGTGAAATGAATGAACTTGAATCTTTGACCAATGATTCTTATGTAAAATCGTGTGCTGAATCCAAAAATGTTGTCAAACAAACCTCAGTAGGATAGTAAAGAGATGCAGCTAAAAAATGAAAATTCACTGTTTACTAAAATACAAATATTTAAGGTTTTATTGAGACTTGAAACTCATATATTTAAGTGCCAAATTAAAGGTAAGAAAATTCTTTCTATCAAATGAACATTGATTAATAGTGTAATTAGGGGTATTGTTGTTAGTTAATAGTTTCTTTGATTCTTTTTAATTTTGCATTTTTCTAAGAACAATTTAATTTTTGCTAAGTTTTTAAACAGTGTAAATACAAATGTTTCTAGTGGTTGTACCATTAATATAACTGAAAAATGAGTGTAAATGATCGAAAGCAAATTTTATCACCTTTAATTTGGCGTTAAAATAAATAATATAGCGTCATAACAGTCGGAGATATTTTTTTTATTTTAGTAAAAACTTTCTTTTTTTTTTAATTGCAGTCACTTTAACGCTCTTGGGTCATTCGTGACTTGTCCGGGGATGAGATTTGAACTTGTGACTTTGGCGTGAGTGGCATGGATCATAACTACAACGCCGGGGTCGCTCCCTAGTAAACACTTTATTTTAAAGTGAAATTTCATTTTTTAGCTATATTTCGAAAACTATCCTACTGAGATTTTTTTGGATTACATTTCTGGATTCAGCGTGCGATTTTACATGGGAAATGACCATCAGCGTACAAAGTTCAAACACGCTGTAACCTAGTGTTATCAATAGGAATTCGCAAGAAATAGTTCTGATGCTTAGAACCCCAAAGACTCATAAACTCGAATAAATTCCAGATAAATCTTATCCAGGATGCTAGCTTAGGTGACCCACTAGACTGATGCAAAATTTGAAATTTTCGCTCCACAGTTCTCAAACGGTTTCAAATCAGGTGCTGATTAGCCTCCCAAAATTTAAACTCATTTGGTAAGAAACTGACTTGGCACAAACTATTCCAAGATTGTATGGAAATTACTATGGGAAAACCAAACTTTTTGTTCATTGTCATCTACCCATTTTCCATATTGTTTTTTCAAAAATTTCTATAATTATTCTTACGGGAAATTTTCTAAGCTACAAATTTGCGGAATATCGTTTTTCAGCCAAAAGTCAAGAGATTGATAATCTTATGGCATGATCAAGCAGCTGTTCTGTGGGCAACACTGTATTCTGCAGTGTGACATAGTAGCCATGATATTTGTGCTCTATTCTTCGCATCAGAAACACCAATGTTGCCTGCTGAACAGTTGAATGAGCATAATCATAAGACATCAGTGACTTGAATAATTAATAACTTTTGTTCCTTACATTTGATTGGAAAATAATTTTCAACAAAGTTGTAGCTGAAAAAATTTGCTACAATCACTGCTATCATTTTTAAAAGCATAGTGATGTAATGAATTGTTTGATAGATATGAACAAAAATATAAGTTTTTCCATAGTAATTCCCATATAAACTTGAAATGGTTTGTGGCAAGTCAGTTTCTTACTAAAGTAGTTCAAATTTTGGGAAGCTAAGCAGGACCCGATTTGGAACCGTTTAAGCACTGTGCAGCGAAAATTTCAAATTTTACATCAGTCTAGTGACCCACGTCTATGTCCAGTAAGATGTAACACGTCCAGTAACACTGTGAGACAAGCCCAGAGACCTTAATAGATCGTCCAGAAAATCTCAAATCACTTCTATTTGAAGGAAAACAATGTAACATAGGTAGGTTTCCGATGTAGGTCCTATTAAATGAAGATTGAGAATCGAGGGTCATTCCAGAGGACCCACAGGATGAATCCATTTTATAAGATAAAAAGCGGTCTTGTAATGTTTTTTTTATATAAAATTGATAATCTTTTGGTTAGCGATCCATGCAAATCTTCGCTTCATTGTGACTCGAACAAGCTCCGTTAGAAACTCAACAGTTTTTATCAAATCGTCTATATTACATCGATTAAGCTCAATTCCGCACAATCTATTCAAAAGGTATACCTGGAAGTCACGATCATCGCATTTTTTTTGTATTAACTTATGAGCACTAAACTACACCGATCTTGATCCTCCTCAGTCAACCATCCCATAGACTAACTACAACACACAATAACCCAACATTGAACGAAAGACAACAGACTGAGCGCGACGAGAAACACGGCAACAGATGTGGATGCATCTAATCTACATTCTACACCAATGACCCATCTTTCCATGGAAACACTTTGAGACAATCGTAAACCAAAGACACCAAAACCAACGCTCATTAGGTATGCTTCTCACGTTGACTCGTCGAAAACCCTGATTGTTTTTTTTTTGCACACATGCACACGATGGACGAACGTTCTGCATGCTCGCAGTAGTGTGAACAGACATAGGAAAAAAACAGTACAGACATTCACCACACTTCTAGAATAGGCTCGGACGAGCAGTGGATTCTACATGAGAGCTAAAGAAGAGATTCATTCAAAATTCACCAAAGGAGCGTCAATCGTGCTTGACGATGATCCGAAGCCATCAAAGTCGCGTGATTTCACTTTAGTGTGCAATCACCGCTCCAGACGGGTAGAGAACCCAAGTTCGACCGTAAAGAATAGATTTCCAAAGGAGAAGAATTTTGAATAGTTTTTTTTTTTTCTGTTGCCAAAACCCGACTTTGGAAACTAGACTATAGAGGAAGAAGGGAACAGTAGCTTCTAGTGGTAGTAGTTCAGGGAAGGTCGGTTTCACTCACCCGCATCCAAAATCAAATCATCGGCGACATTGTCGTGGTTGGCTTCTTCACTCTTAATAGCTTTAACATTACCTAGCGTGTCGAACGTCGAGGGGGTGTTCTTGCAGCCGTACCACCAGTGCGCCACCGGCCGTGGGAACGGTGGGTCGGATTGGTCAATCTGAAAGAAAGGATAACATCAATATCTACTGCGCTTCAAAGAATCTCAAACCATTGCATACTGAGAATGTCCTATCGTTAAACCGATAGTACTTATCGTCCTTGAAGAAGTACGTATAGCCATTGGTGTACTGCAGGGCAGCATCAATGTTATTGGGCAGACCCTCCCAGTTGGAGATTGGTTTCGGATAGGTGGACTTGACCGGTGGTCGCTTCAGCGGATCGAACCGCCAGAATTTGCTACCCTTGTAGAAATAGATCTTGCCGTTGCCGCCCCACACCAGAGCAGCGTCCAGATGATCCGGAATACCGGTAAATCCTTCGCTAATCTCCTTTGGATAGTCGCCATCCACCTGTCGGCCGGTGTACCGCCAGTACTTGGTCCCCTGGAAGAAGTACGTCTTTCCATTTTTGTACGTGAAAGCTGCGTCGATGTTGCCTGTGGTGGTGGGAAAATTGGGTTCTTTAACAATTAAAAAAAAAAGCATCAAAGAAAAAATCCATGAACAAACCAGGCAATCCAGGCCATCCTTCGGCGATCTTTTTCGGGTACCCTTCGGCCACGGCATTCTCCGTCAGTTTGTAGTAGCTGTCACCCTTGAATGTGTACGTACTGCCGTCCGCCGCGTTGAACATGCAATCGACCTTCGGAGAGGAGCACAGTTCGGAATCCGGATCCTTCTGCACCGGACGGGAAGTCGTTCGGGATGGGGTTATGCCATTACCACCACCGCTACTGCTGGTCTTGCGACCGTAGAGAGCTTGGATTCCCTGTAAATTGTAATGAAGGTTATCGGTTTTGTGTGGTAAGGATGGTTCATACAATAAATGTTATGGCAATTTTTGCAATGGACTGCAACGTATTTACAATCAAGTTTTTCCAGAATGCATATTTTTGAAGAAAACAACCTTCACGAGATGATTTTGTAGGCTCCACGCATTTGGGGAAACGAACTGAATTTTGAAAAATAAGTTATTAATAAAATTAAATTTTGTTTTAAAACCTTCCATGATTTTACAGCAAATTGGTAAAATTTTTACGCAAAATAATTTTGTTGTTGTGTTTGACTCAAATTCAATTATTACTTCTTTTAACATTGTTTCAATGCCAAACATCACTCAAAACAGCAGTAAATAATTTTGTCCAGAGTTTCATCTTAGAGGAGTCTCTGTGCGACGTTTTTGCCTCTTCATCTTCATCGTTTGAAGAGAATCTGATTCAAAGGAAGATCATGTACTGTTAATTGAATTACATTCATATTCAAGTTCAGAACACAAGCATACAAATGCATCTTTCGTCAGCCACGGCCCCAGAAGTCACTGACTGGGCTGACAGGCTGACTAGGATGGATATCAGGGGACAATTCTGTCCCTGATCCTAGAACGCAATTCGTTAACCATCCCGGATTTTTCTAAGTTGGTGTTCGATGCTGCATCCGCTACCATACCAAAGACAAGTAGTCTACCTGGACGAAAAGCCCTCCGTTGGTGGAGCGAAGACACCAAAAAAAAAAGCCGTTTAAGACCGCCGGAAAGCTCTACGGAAATTCAAGCGAACCCCGAGAGATTACCCATTACATGTACAAGCAAACTGAGTTACCATCTCCGGTTACGATAGATACTTTCAGCGGTTGGCAAAGCCTACCCCGTACATCAGTCTCTGAGTTAAGCATCCCGCCTGACACGGACAACCTCGAGATAAACGAGCATTTCTCCTGCGAGGAACTCCAGCATGCACTAAGCGGCAACAACGGCAAATCTGCGGAACCTGACGATCTCGGGTATCCACTTTTAAAAAAGCTGCCTCTTGAGGGCAAGTGTTGCATGCTTGAGATGCTCAACCAACTCTAGGTCTCGGATACCTACCCGACGCTGTGGAAGGAGAGTCTCGTCATGCCCATCCCGAAGGCAAAGGAAAAAGACAGGGGCACATCTAAGTTCCGGCCGATCGCTCTCACGATCGGGACGTCCACGTACTTTGCCACTCTGGGTGACGTCCTCAAGGAAGCTTACGACCAGGAACACGGTGTTGAAATCATCTCATTAGCCATCTCCAATGCCTTCAACCGGACGTGGACGCCAGCCATCTTGAAAAAAATTACAAACTGGGACTTGGAAGGGCATATGATGTATTTCATACGAAACATATGACCGACCGGTCATTCCGTGTATTGGTGGGGGACACGCGGTCGAAACGTTTCAGCGAGGTGACTGGAGTCCCTCAAGGCTCCGTTATCGCAGTCACGTTGTTTCTGGTTGCAATGAACGGGATATTTGACCGGCTACCTGGGCGCATTTACATATTTGTTTACGGTGACGATGTGCTGATTGTGGCCACCGGACCCACACAGATCCGAACCCTACGTCAAGTGCAAGCGACAGTCTCTGTCGTCGTCAAATGGACCTACTCGATGGGTTTCCAGCTGTCCGCCAGGAAGAGCATCCGATGCCACGTATGTCCGTCTCATCACCAAGTCAATAGCACCCCAATTACGATCCACGGCCAAGCCATTCCAAACAGGAAAACAGTTCGCGTCCTCGGTGTACTGATCGACCGAACGCTCTCCTTCGACCAGCATTTCCAACAGGTCAAAAAAGACTGCCACAGTAGACTCAACCTCGTTAAAACGATCTCTCGGCCTCACCGATCCAATAACCGCGATGTTCGGTTCCGGGTGGCGCGAGCCATCATCAACAGAAGGTTGCTTTACGGGATGGAAGCTGGTTAGAACCCTAGAACCGGTCTACAACAGCTACATCTGCATCATATCTGGTCTCCTGCCATCCACTCCAGCAGACGCCGCATGCATCGAAACGGGTCTTCTTCCTTTCCGGTTCTGCAACGCAAATATTGCCACAAAAGCTGTCGCCTTTTCCGCCAAGACCTCCGGAAATAATAGGATCTTTCTCCTCGACGAGGGGAACAGAGTCCTCCACAAGGCCGCCGACATCGACCTCCCTCCAGTGACCAAAGTCGATTGGCATCGAGAGAAAAGTTGACACTCTTCACGAATCCAATTGGACAATCAGATCAAGAACCGCCTCAAAGTAGGGGATGCATCCGTGATTCTGTGCAGATCGGTCACCGAGTTACTTGGGTCCAACTATGCCGACCACGTACACCGGTACACCGACGGCTCCCGATCGATAAACGGAGTAGATATCGGGATTTTCGGAGACGGTATTGCTGAAAGCAGCAGTCTTCCTCCACAGTGCTCGGTTTTCTCGACCGAGGCTGCAGCGATCTTTCATGCCGCTACGAAGCCAGCCAACAAACCGATACGTATCTTAACCGACGCACACAGCGTCGTTCAAGCGATCACCTCGGAAGCACCAAAACACCCATGGATCCACGCGATTATCAAGTACGTCCCACTGATCACCGTGTACACATGGACTCCCGGACACTGCGGAGTGCCAGGTAACGAGTATTCTGATCACCTTGCCAGAGCCGGGACTTCGGATCCCAGACTCATCGACAAGGTACCCCTACAGGACGTCAGACGGTGGATCATCTGTGGGGTACCCTACACCGTCAAACATATCCTGTGCAACTGCCCGGAGTTCCAAAATCTTCAGGAGCCTAACTTCCAGCATCAGCGATCTGCTCGGGAATGATACTCCGACCTCGGTAGCACTAGTAACCTTCTTAAAAGAAGCCAAAATCTACCACTTGATATAACAAGAATTTATTTCGGCCGTCTGAACATTTTAGCTGGATGGATTTCCCTATTGGACCCAAGCCAGCTGAGCTCTGTTTTGTTTGGTTCGTTTGTAGCTTGTTTTAAATCATTTTGTTTTCTGTTGTTCCTCTGTTCTCCATTTTATATATTGTTATTTTTCCATATAAGTTGAGGACCAGCAACCAAAGTTATTTACAAAATGTTAATAAACCATGTATTTAGAGGTTACTCACTCTGAGGCCTCTCCTTTCTCCGGAGATGAACTAATAAAGAATTTAAAAAAAATCCAAATAGACTTGTTAACTCAACGTCGAATCGGTGTTGGTTCATTCTTAAGGCTCGTGGACTCAATGTTGGGTTAATTTCAAACTAGTGTCAGGCGATTGCTGCAGAGCATACATTTTATGTCTGGTTGAAATATTGGTTCAGATTTTGCCTCGGATTGTCAGCCAGAGCTCCAATCGTCTGCAGATTACATTCAACAGAATTACCTAAGGAGGATACATACAGAGTCCTTTTACCTGTGATACTTCTCAACTCTACCGGTAACCACCCAAGAAACCAAAAGTTCCGCATTCAACGATAAAACTCACTTCCAAGTTCCATAAAGTTCAAACAAAATTACGACAGAAATTTCAAGTTCCATAAAGTTCAAATAAAGTTACAACAGAACTTTCTTCGCAAGCAACCAAAAGTTCCACATTCAACGATAAAACCGACTTTCAAGTTCCATAAAGTGCATATAAAGTTCCAACACAACTTTCTGGCTACTTTAGAAGGTATAGAAAGCACACGAGGAACTTCAGGCTCCAAAAAGTTCCGATGCGTACTCTTAGCAACTTGAAGTTCAAAAATAGTTCCAAAAAGCCTCCCTAAGCACTTCTTAGGAACTTCAAGTAAGGCTGAAAACATGGCAGCAACAAAGTTCCGAACAAGTTCCCAGCGGAACTTTAAAGTATTTTAAAAGTTTCTAAAAATATATCCATACTCATTTGAATATCCGGAGAACTTTGAGATTTGGGGGTAATTGCTTTGTAAACAAACACGTCAATCGCTGTTTGGTAACGAATAAAAGTTCAATCTCGCTAACAAACTATACCAAATGATAGAGGAATCATTTCTCTACTTGTTTGTGTTGTTTTTTTTTTTTGAAAATGATCTTTGATTCGCGAGAAATTGGTGACTGACCTGTTTGCTTACAAATGCAATTATTCGAGGTTCCTTGGACATTTCTATGTTTCAAAATCTCATAAAATATTCACTGAACTTTGTCGGAGTTATTTGACCTGCTCTAAATAATCCTGAACTTTTTAAAGACCTTAGAACTTATCTAACGTCTGAGTTTCTCAAAATGACTTCTTCAATGTTTTCATAGATGCTCATAAATTCTAACACGCTATAAAAAAGTATTTTTTTTTATCTGAGCGTATACCTTCCTTGAGTAAGACATGTTGGTACTCAAATAAAATGCTACACTCAATAGTTTCGCCGCAAATAACCATGTCCAAATATGTTTGATTTCATCCCACTGTGGGACGGTATAAACAGTATCTTTAAAAATGTTAAAATTTGGTTGTTTATTAATTTAGTGGTACTTAGGCCTATATCAATCCTAATTATTAACGAAAGTTATGAGTGCCACACACAACACCACTTCTCTAATGCACACGCAATTCTTCGCTAGTCTAGTAGCCACTCAAACTCACCTGAACATCATCCGAATCCAACCGGAACACCGGATCGTACCCCCGGTAGAACGGTGCCATCAGTGCCGACCGTACGTCCGAGTGGCTCAGCCCCAGCGAATGACCAAACTCGTGTGCGGCTACCTGGAACAGGTTCGTCCCCCGGCTCTTGCCAATCGTCCAGAACTCCGCATCGTCAAAGTGGGCATCTCCTCCGTACACTGGGAAATAGGCGTGCGCCAGAGTGCCTCCCGGACCATCGAATGGATCTCCGTCGCCGTGTTCGTTTACCTCGAACCTAATGTCTATGTGCACCGGAGCGCTCTTCTTTGCCGTGAATGAAAGATCAGTATACTCGCTCCACACCGAGAAGGCCTTTGCTATTTCCTTATCTACCTCGGCTCGGTCCAGCCGCGACGGGTACTTGGATATCCGATAGGTGAGGGCTTTCACCTTCCACCGGCTTCCCTGCAGGGCGTACCGTTTCGATCGGGAGTCCGATCCGAAACCGACCTTATCCCGAACTCCACACCGTGGCAGTGACATGAGCTCCATCGTCTCGCCGTCCAGCTCACCGGTTATGTTGAGGCCGGCAAAGCTCTGGAACTCCATGATTGCCTTCTCCCAGGTATCCTTTTGCAGCAGGCTCCCGCTGGTTGGATTCCGGAATTTTGCATTGAGGTAGCCAAACTGTGACAGGTAGAGCTGTGGAGGGAGAGAACAAAGAAAACGGAATTAGATAACGGAATTGAGGGGAAAGCTCACGTCTTCAGTACCGGGAAACCTTTCGTACAAATAGCGCCCGCCGCCAAAATGTAAAGAACTAAGAACAACACCATTCTGAGCCACCTCCTCTCGCGACAACTTTCCCATGCCAAATGAATCGCACGGAACTAGTTTTATGGATCAAACTTCTTGACCGTGGACGGACAGAACGCAATTAGTATTCACCGGGCAGAAGGCACCCGAACGAGCAATCGAACCCCAAGGACATTCTACGGGCCGGTAGCTATTAGGAGGGCCGTCATCATCGTCCCCCGCAATAGCAGCAGCGGCGGCATATTAGTGATTCCGGACGTGTCCGCTTGTCGCGCAACTGCTCTGGCCGTGTGTGGATGGGGCTTGTATGTAATGAAGGCGAGATGGCTTGGCAGATCAAGATCTAAATCTCGCACATGACCGGGGCTAGATGGCCCGACGGAATAGATGGCTAGAACGGGCATTGTCGTCAGGACAATGACAGTTTTGCTTCGCTGAATGAGTTGCAATAAACATTGGCAATTAAATTGGCTAGCATTAAATGAATGGATTGGATGTTATTGTTGGGAATAATCGAGCTTGAATGGGATTTGTTTCTTTTAGTACGTCCTACATGATCTGATATCTCCCATTAGCCTAGCCATTGGGCATACTAATTAAAGATGATTCGATTTCCAAGCTAGATGAAAATTTTCCAGACTTTCTACACAATACAAGAGGGCCTAAATGATAGGCTTAAAAAACCTTCAATTAACTACTAAGTTTTGGACATTGGCATGAACAAAATGAAGACAACCATGGTCAGTATCAATGTTATCTTTCGCTTCATTTGACATTAACCCAAATCGCACCACACTTTCATTATCACTCACAATTTCTCCAAAAAATAAATCCCATTCAATTGAAGACCAGCAACATCGGACCCGATTGATTTCGTAATGTTTACGCATGCTTTGTGGTGACAATGTTTACAAATAATCAAAACAGTAATGCTTCCTTCAATGCTTTCCCCAGTTGATTCAACTGTACACACTAGGTGTGAATGATAACAAATTTATCGATAACGAGCTGATAACGCCTAGCCCTCCTTTGGAGCACTGCATTGTGGTGAGGAGCTCAAGAGCGAATGAATCGAGTCACGTCGTCGGACTGTGTCGGTCATTCTAAACCGATACGGCCATCCAAGGTGATTGTTTGCTGCAAAAGGTGATAAATTGATAGTTTGTGTTTACATGTTGCCAAACACTAACCAACCTAATCTATGTTGCCGATAACGACCACTGAATAGAGGGTTTTTTCAAGGTTATGTTCAGAACCATCGAAGGAATTTAATGAATCATCCCTAAGGAACGGCACGCGCAAGTTGTAGGAACGAAAGCATACCCAGAATGTTTCAAATATGCAAACTTGATCCCCTCGCATGAGAATACCTGAACATCATGATTACATCGCAGCACACAACCCGATCCGACTAATTGACTAATCGAGTGATTTACACCAATCCTGAATTAATGAACCTGTAATTATCTACCTCGTATGGTTGCATTCGATGTATCATCTCGGCGTGTGCTTGTGATGTGTGGTAGACTCACGGTTGCTTAAAACTAAAAAGGCATTACGAATGCAGCGAGCATTACTTCCCCGCAGCAAGGAAGCAAAGTCAAAGTTGTTTGTTCCGAACAAAAATAAGCCCACAAATCAACTGCAGTCGGTTTGATGCCGTGGTCGTCGTCATCCGTTGTGCATCCTCAACAACACCGGGTTCACCTGCAGTAAGTTGTTTACCAATCAACCAACCAAACCAAGCGGGGATAAAACAAAGCAAGGAATACAAGGGACTTGGGGAAGGAAAAGTTATTTGCATAACACGACTGGATCAGACATTTCGTGTCTAAATATTGACAGCAATAAATTTTATTCACCAAAATGCAACCGGGAGGGATGGCCGGCGAGCAGCAGTGTTATTGGCTTTACATGTGCAACTGACGGACCCGTTCCGATGGCGTTTGTTTTCGCTGCTTGTGGGGTGGATAAAAGGTATAATAACAAACAGGTTCGCTGCAAAATTAAGGCTAAATCCACTTCCATTAAGGTTCGACAATTGCTACACACTTAAGATTTTACTGACCGCTTTGATGCACCACTAATGAAGAGAAAGACATGTAAACATATCTTCACCACATTCGATTGATCACATAAAACACGGAATTTTCTTGACTAAAATTTTTGAAGAATTTACCTTGGCAAAGTGGTAAATCTGACAGCACCTACATGTAAAAGGCTGTTCGTAAACTACGTAGACATATTTGAGCGATTTGATAATCCTCCTCCTCTCCTCCTCTTCCCTGCGTAGACAGATGCTCATAATTTTTTTTTCCAAAAATTTGTATTGGCTTGCTCTCCTTACCCCTCCCAAAAGCGTTCTACGTAGTTTATGAACAGTCCCGTAGCGTGGGTAAGCTTCTTCGCTTCGCTTTATGGTTTCTGTTCTGTAGGGTATCAGGTTTTTTCGCAGTACTCAAAGAATCATCGTCAGGGCTATCAAAGTGATTACTTATGGTTACGCCATGAGTACAAGCTCCGAAAACCGGTTTTTTTAGTCATAACTAACTGGGCGCACAAATATCGACCTTCATGTGCTTTTTCTATACAACCTGTGTATCAACATTGGAACCAGAGTTGATAATAGAAGAGTTACGCAGAGTGAAGCTTGCAACACTGATGTCGATCAATGGAATTTTTATTTTATTTTGGCATTCTTTGTTTTTGTTTACACCTCGGATGACTTCACCTGGGTTGTGAAAGTTTCATCTAGTTTCGATAACAATACTTCCCACGCAACAGAGCCAATTTGTCTACTATGATCGTGGTTTGACAGTTCGATAGGTAAATTTTGGTTTCAGTCTGAACGACCATCCAAAACTGTACGCTCATAGGGGTGATGCATATATTATGTCACGCTCTAAGGTGAGAGGAGGGGGGGGGGTGATATTTTGTGACAAGCATTGTAGTAGGTATAGTAAAACCATGCCGATAGGGCGGAGGGGGTATTTTTTCCTAAATTTAGCGTGACATAATTACAGTATGACCCCTTGTGAGCAAAACTGCACTGTGAACATACCAATGTGATATAATCTGTCTTCATCCAGATTAGAGGTGGTAAATATCATGGCCGTCATGTGACAATAAGAAAACAAGTTCTCTCACTATCGCGAGACGAAAGTACATATCATGAGCTTTCTTATCATTTTCCAGTGATCAAGCCCTCATGAGAATAATTCTCATACGGTTTTGACATTAACATTTTTAACTGATTTAGAAGAATTTAGGCAAGCAAGTAAAGTGAATATATTTTTAAGATTACCGCGGGATAAGATATAATAATTTCAATGAGGCAGCTAGTAAATACAGTGTTCATAGCACTGAACGGTGGCAAGGGTGCAACCAGGTTTTGAACTGGGAAGGGGGGGGGGGGGTGTTGAAATATATGTTACTATGGATGATTTGGCCGAATGCCAATAAGAACGCTTCAATGTTGCTGAAACTGCCATGCTTTGGCTCCGCCTATGCCCAGTTGTATAGCATGAGTATGATTGACCGCCCCCGGTTGCTACACTGTTATTGCCAGATCAGCTGTAATTACATAAAGAACCAATGTGTAAAAACTGGTGATCTCAAACTAGGCAATACCAGCGCCGGCCGCACCCGATAGGAATGGGTAGGAATGCGTTGACGTGACTCTCGATTTGATGGAAGCCAAGAACGCCTCTGCACTTCCACGAGGAATGACCGGGAATGTTGGGTAAGCGGGTTGGGTTTGCTGCAGGGTTCGTTTTGGTAAACGATAAGCTGAATTGATGTCCTAACGATCACCGCAAAGGAGCTTGGGATCGAACCCACAGTCGTCTGCTCAGTAAGCACAAATGATTGCCCCTAGGCCAACGAGATCCATTTTAATCATCGAGTTGCTGTTATTACCATGTAGTCATATCAACAAACAAAACAATTGACAAATCTTGATTGTGGATAGGTCTGAGATTAGACTCACGATGTTCTGCTCAATAAGCTAAAACGGTCACTCTAAGGTCACCGAGCCTTTCATATCACATCATACCGCTATTCTAGTTGTTGTAACCATTCACACCCGGCACCGATGACGACGACAAGTTTCACAAAATGCACCATAAACAAGTGATTTGACCATAAATCTCTTTAATATGAATACTCCTGGGACCGCATTTTTGTGCTCAGTAAGCAAGTCACTACAAGCGACGATCTTTCAAATCCAAAAACTAAAAGCTACGAAAAAGCCTTCATCAAGTTCCACTTTCACGCGACGTTATTTTTGATATGAAATATTCAATATAAAAATTCATACCGGGAGTGGCTACTACTAGTAACAAATATCAGCTGTAGTCAAAGCAGGAGCTTGATCATTGACGACCATACAATTCAATAGTTGCTACTCCGTGATTGACCAGATGTAGCGAAATTTGCACAAAGAACCAAGCTTGAGATTAGCAATCCATTCATGTGCAAAATCCAGAAAATCAATACTTTTCAGGCCAATAACGGCACCGGTTATGTCCTTACGGTCGTCGGGGGAAAGAAAGGATTGTTAATTCGACAAACGTTGCTACTAAAAAGATACCGAATACACCTCTGCATCGCCTCGGTTGTCACGGGAAGGTCGTTTTTGTTAGTGGGAAGGGTGGATTAGATCTGGATTCACACTGGAAAGTAATGCGATCTTTTAAGGCATGGTTTTAGCAAATAAATGTACGTTAACAAACAGTTAACAATGTTTTTTTTTTCTAACCGGATCAAGTACACGTCAAATTTTAATATATTTATTGCTTTCTCCTACACGGTAAAAAAACATCATGTTCATGTAAAGTGATTTGCTGTTGAATTTGCACTACTTGCCAAACACTGCAAATCGATGT